TTACTGATTTTGTCATTTTTTTCTTTTGACAAGTGGTTTTAACAGCATATGCTGAACCATTTATATAGCACTAAGTAGTGAGTAGAAGTTAGATACTGTTAGCTTCTTCATGAACTTCAATTTACATTGAAGTGTATGGTCTTGCAGGTTGTAACACCATATGCCTTGGAGATAGTCCAGTGTTTCGGAGGAACAAATTGTCTCCATCTTTAGAGTTAAAGAATGAGCCAAGCAAAAAAAAAGGGGGGGGGGAAAGAAAGGAAGGAAGGAAGAAATAAACAGCAGGTGACAGGCTCAGCTTAAACTTTGACCCTGAAAATGGAGGCAGCGTGTTACCCTGAAGCGGTAGGTTGTCCTCAAACTACATGGGGTTACAACCAAAAAAATCATACTCTTATTGGTCACTGCCATGAAAAACTCAGATCCAGTTTGGATGGCCTCTATTTAGTAGTTTGATATTGAGAGAGTCTGTGATTTTGGCAGAGCTCAGGGGCTGCATCTGAACCAGAGGTGGTAGCTGAGATGCGAACACAAGGCAAAGTGCGTGCCAAAGTATATTGGTCATACTTCGCTGCCACAGGGAGTTGGGGCATCATTCTGCTTGTTTTTGGTGTCTGTATTCTGGAGCAGCTTGCCCTCAGCGGGGGAGACTACTGGATTTCCTTCTGGTGAGTGCAGCACGCTCACTGTTGTCTGTCAGTGTCTGCAATTTCGAAAGTCCTATTTCACCAGCAAAATGACATGATAGTTTGTAGTGTGAAACTTACTTAAATGTTAAAATAAAATAACTCTTGCATGCAAGAGAACACATTTCAATTACCAATTTCATTCACTTAGAGGGGTGAAAAACAGTTATCATATTTACTTGCATTATTTGTGCAGCTTTTCAGCCAACAGTGTGTCCCAAAATAATGGTGTGCAAGATATACAATTACTACATTTCATAATATAGCTTTAGACTTAATATTGATGTTAGGAAAATTATGGCTGCATAATATTAAAAAAAAAAAAAAGTGACCTCTGTGACAAAAGACCCCAATTTTCTTCTTTTCTGTGCAATTTCTAACCACCAGGTTAAACCTGGCTATGTAACTGATACATTTACCCATGTTTAACCTAAAAATTACTGCATATTATTGCTGATTTAGCATAAGACAATATAAGCAAAGCATACTCATTGATAGCATTGAATACAGCGAGATACCCAGCATGTAACATATTTGGTGGGAGGGCCCATGCTAACAGTAGAAGATCATTCTTACTACACCCTCCCCTCTTATTTTCATGTTTATTCAGACTAAATCTGTCCGTCTTGATGCAAGGGAGGAGAGAAGCAGTAAAGTTACAGGCAAAGGATACTGATGCCGCCTGACAGTAGTTACCACTCGTAGTCAGTAAGGAGATGGGGCAGATGTCTAAATTGACCTGCAACCATACTGTGATGTTTTGCATCACCAATACACCTTCCTTATCCACAAGCTGTATGTGATTTGTAAAACATCAGTTAATTTAATGAAGTGCGGAATTTTGTGCAGTCCTAGAGTATCTAGAACGTTAGAAAGGAAGAGTACAGTGACTCAGAGTTAAGTATTATGTTTTTTTAATATAGGAGTTTCAAGGTCAGAGTTTTAGTCCTGGTGGGAGCAAGAATTTTCACTTCTCCACACCATTCAGACTGGCTCTGGGGCCTACCCAGCTTCTGATGCCATGGATAGTGGTGGCTCTTTACCTGGGGGTACAGCAGCTGGGGTGTGAAATTGACCGCTCACCTCCAGCTAGTGCCGAGGTCCAGAAAACTTGGGTCCATACATCGACTTCCACATATGTCTTCATGGTGTAGTGCTTAAATAATTAATCACAAGGACAACTTTACCTTTATTGGCTTCCCCAGTAGCTCCAGACTGGAATGGTGTTTTGTTTTCATTGTCTTGAGTATCCATATTTACTTCAAATATGAAAGATTTATGCTGGATGGAGCATGGATGGCTTCTGTATTCCCTTTTGTTTTCCTTGGATCTTCCAAAAAGAAAAGTCACATATTTTTATTGAATACATTCTCTAGGAGCACAGACTGAGTGAGGGGTGGGGGCTCATATTGTCTACTGTTTCCATGGAGACTCTGAACAAATAGAAGGCATATTATATTGTGAGATGAGTTCTCCCCCCCCCCCTGCCACTGCCAGTATATATGTGTGTATTGAGTTCCTTTGTGAAGGTTTTGTTGTTATACTTACAGGTCTAAAGTGGAAGAACATCGATCAGCTATATCTAAAGCTGCTAGTGGTTCACTTCAGAATGGGACAGGCCCAGTAGTGAATGATACTGCTTCATATCAAGACAGCAATTCAGGCTACAGCGCTACCACAGATGTGGCAGAGTGGGGCTGGCTGCCTAGTAGAGAGACATGTATATATGTATATTCTGGCCTGGTGGCTTCTGTCATGATACTGTCAGTGTGCAGTGTAATATCTTTCTTCACAATGTGCATGAGAGCATCCATCAGCCTCCACAACACAATGTTTACCAGCATTACTCGTGCCACCATGCGGTTCTTCAACAGCAATCCTTCAGGTATTCCAGACAAGTTGACATGTGTGACTTGCTCCTTTTATTATGTTTAATCCTTTCACTGCATTGTTCGGCTGAAGCCAAACAAGTATCCGTTACTGTATAGTGTGACATTCAACTTTAGTACACATTAAGAAATAATATTATTTTGCTGTTGCTATACTTCATTCACTGGGCTGTGAAAATACTTTTTTGTTGTTGTTGTGTGTGTTTTTCTTCATATTTTTTACCATAAAATTGCATTATTGTAGGAAAACGGTGAGAGAATAATACTGTGGCATGCCACCAGAAAGCCAGAGTGGCTCAGGAGATCATGGTTGATTTCCTAGACAACGAGTGATGTTTCCGTTACAGCGCTAAAATTGGAATAAAGCCATTGCTGTATGGTGGCTAACAATCTAACATTGGAGTTTCCACCATTACACACCAATTGTTGGAAGCAGGTTTTGCAAAGCAGCAGCCAACATGGTATTCTCTATCGAGTCTGCTTGCAAGTTTTAAAAGTCTCGCTTCGATGAGACCAGTCATTTTTGATTTAAGAGTTCTTAGTGTAGCTCTGATTAGAGCAGAAGCAAGCTCGCATCCGACAAAGGGAACAGAAGACTTCACCGAGATTAGCGGTGCAAGAAGTAACTCTAACAGTGCTGTAAGAAACGTCTGATGACGTTATAAGTCGATGATAATTGTACTTGGAAGCGTAAAAGAGATTGTTCAATAAACGTATTAGCCAAATCAAAGACCTGCATTAATTTACTTGTCACTTCAAATAGCTACATGCGACAACTGGTGTCAGAAGTGAGATGGATCGGATTCTGGAACAAACTGTTGGACAAAAGACTGAATTGTGCACAAAAAGAAACTGGAGTCACAGCAAATGATGGAACTCCTGCTGAAAGAGATGAAAGCTGGCCAAGAGCAGGTGACGCAACAGCTTGGCCAACCAAGCGAAAACAGACAAAATAGAGGCCAATGGGGAAGCCACCCAAGAAGTTCAGCTGGATAAAATGAAGGTTGACCGAGAAGGGTGGAAATCCTGGTGAGAAGAAATGGCTGCCATCCGAAACAAAAGGATGGATGCCAGCCACTAGGAGATGACAGCTGAAATCGAACCTGAAAAGGACGAAGAGATGATGGCCTGCCAAGAAATGACGGAGACATGTCTGGAAGAAAAAGAGCCAACCTCACTGGACAGGAAACCTGAGGTGGCACAACAAGGAGATATTCCTAAGAAAGACGCCAAAATAATGCCTGTCAGAGGACCGAAGAATAGGCATAGGGACCGAAACCGCTGAAAGAAGAAGGAACAGGCCTAGAATCAAGATAGGTGCTGAAAACAAGAAGCTGTTGCTCAGAGAGGAACGAGGTGCCAGGAGAAAGTGGCACGGCAAATGAAGGAAAACAGCAGGAAGATGACCCACTGTGCAAAAGTGGCACAATGAAAGAGACTCTGATTAGAACAGAAGCAAGCTCACATCCGACAAAGGGAACAGAAGACTTCACCGAGATTAGCGGCGCAAGAAGTGACTATAACAGTGTTGTAAGAAACATCTGACGATGTTATAAGTGGATGATAATTGTATTTGGAAGTGTAAAAGAGATTGTCCAATAAACTTATTAACCAAATCCGAAACCCGCATGAATTTACTTGTCACGTCACATAGGCAACACGCGACAATACACAGCAAAAGGGTTAGGTTTATTAATCTGAACTGCAAAGGTTGACTTATATTCTCCAAATGAGGTCATTCTCTACTTTGCAGACCTCATTGGCAGAGTTGGTGCTACAGCTCAAGTGAACCAAATGATGACCTGAAACAGCACAATTTTAGTAGCAGCACACTTTATAAATTTCAGTTGTTTTCATTAAATGGAAGATAGTTATTGCTGATGGTTTTTTCTTAATACTGTGACCAATCATTTAAAGCCCAGTTGTTATATATGCCACCTTGTTTAACACACTAAAGCTGTGTGTTCTGCTTGTAGAGTGTATAAGTGTCTTTCATATGTCACAATAAACAGCAATTATTTTACTCTACGGAATTAACTGGCTGATGTTTGTAGCAGAGACATAGTATGTTCCCTGTGAGGTGCAAACTGAATTATTATATATTATTGTATATTATTTAAAGGGTTTGTTGTCAATCATCTAAACATATTATGCAAACTGGGCATGGGCTGGAATTTATCATTGTCTGGAGTGGCTTGCTCAAGCCCTGCTCGTTTTCCTTGATGTTTCCTTATTGCAGATGAAAATTCATTGTCCCAAAACCAGATTATTATGTCATACATCACATTGAATGGACTCAAGAAATTATTTTACTTGGTGTATCACTAAATATTCGTCATACCAGGAAATATTTGAAGTAAAAGTTATGTATCTTAAGCAAATCTATGTCTTATGTTATGTACTAATTTTTATATACTCAGCTTTTCTTTTTGAGGAAACCAGAGTTCATTTTAAGCTTCAGGTAAGGTATAAGGGTTATGTTAGACAGATACAAACAGCACTTAAATTCATCTAACAATCTGTTGCATGTTCACTATCAGTTCCATTAATCTTATTCAATCATTTTGGAGATCACATATATGGAATCCTGGATATGAAGGACAGTCAAATGAAAATGGGTCAGAAGCCAGCACATCTCCAAAACTGTTAATACATTTATCCCACTGGGATATGAGATGGTCAATCCCATCCTTGAAAAAGCATGTGGGCTGCCTATGGAACCACATCTTTACCCAGCCACATATGTCTTTGTCTGATGCAAACCGATGTCCACGAATGGCTCTCTTCAGATTGATATATTGGGTTTTTGGACATTATCCATCGTCCTGGTTTTTAAGATAACTAATAAAAACACGACGTTTCGGAAACTGGATCTGTTTCCATCCTCAGGTGAAGGAAAAAAACCCAATATATCAATGTGTTATACACCATCGTCAGAATCCTATAGTCTCTCTTCAGGTCTCCAAAAATGTGAAAATCACATGGGGAGAGATCTGGGCTGTAGGGGGGATGTTGAAGCACTTCCCAACCAAATCTCTGTAGCATATTCCTCACAGAGTCGGCAGTGTGGGGGCGCGCATTATCATGAAGAAGGATAATGCCGTTCGATAGCATTCCAGGGCGTTTTGAATTTATGGCACGTCTCAGTTTCTGCAAAGTGTCTTCTTAGCACTGTGTACTGATTGTGGCCCCATGCTCGAGAAATTCAACAAGCAGAGGGCCCTTGCAGTCAAAGAAGAACATCATCATCACTTTACTGGAACTTGCATGTACGGCTTTGGATTTCTTTGGTGGGAGAGAATTCACATGTTTCCACTGTTGGCTCTGCCATTGGCTCTCAGGTTCAAAATTGTGGCACCAAGTTTCATCCCCAGTGGCAATATGGGACACGAAAGCATGCTCTTCCTCATGGTACTGTTGCAAGTGACCCAGTGATGCAGCCATTCTCTGAGTCTTCTGTTCCTCTGTGAGTTGATGTGGAACCCACTGCACGCAGATTTTGCAGTACAACAGGTGTTTTGTCACAATGACGTGTACAGAACCATGACTTATTCCCATCAAAATACTAATTTCTTCCACACTGATCGTTGGTTTGCCCAGATATGACCATCCAACGCAGCAGTAACATCAGGAGTGAAGACACGATGAGTCTGTCCTGGGCGAGCATCATCTTGCAGTGACACACGTCCCTCTCGGAATCTCTTATGCCACACCAGCACATGTGAACGTGACATGCTGTGTTCACCGTAAACAACAGACATGCAATGATGAATTTCTCATCCTCCTACTCCTTCAGCAGTCAAAAAGCACACTACAATTCGCTGTTCGTCTTTACCCGCCTCCATTACTGATAATGGATGACCACACATAGCACTAACCTTAATTCCAGCACAATAAACAAACGACCAGTGTGCAATGGCATGTTGTCACTGTGCTTTCCTGAGTCCCTACCAGATGTTCGTACCATAAGCAAATTCCAGTGTTACCAACTTGCACGCTGTGTGAGTTATGCGTGGTGACCCATTTTCATTTGACTGCCCCTTATATATTGACAAGACTGCTCCCATATGTGTTCACTTTGCACACTTGGTGCAAGAAATAGCAAAATGTATATGAGAAGCCTGCCATGTCAGGGTTCTTCGAAGCATGAAAATGTTGCCCTACATCCTGCAGTCTATAATAATGTGTTCAGTCTCCCAGTTTTGTGGATTATTTATTTAAGTCTCTTCAGGTATAATCAACTGAAGGCAAACTGTGAAGCATGGAAGAGTGGCATAGGAACAAAATGTTTTATTTCTTGCATCTTGTACTTCTTTCAGGTCAGATACTGAATCGTTTCTCAAAGGATATGGGGTCAATAGATGAAATTCTACCACCAACATTGATCGACTGTGTGCAGGTGAATAGATTAATACTGTGCTTACTAACTAACTCATTCTGTGAAGTTGAGTCCTTGAGAACCATTAATTAGTCAGTTTGCTAGTCTAGAAATTCCCATGATTTTGTGAAACCTGAAGGTTCATTACCATGTTCACAAAAGTCTGCCACCGGTCCCTATGCTGAGCCGGATGAATCCACTCCACAGCCTCCTGTCATGAATGAATGCATATGTAAGGGGTGGGCCTTCTTTGCCTTTGCACTGCGACCACAGTGATCTATTGTGCCTCGCCTTCTGATTATGCCCTCAACAATCCTGTGCTTCGAATGAAGTGCAGGATTTTGTACATGGGGATATTGAAATAGTCACTTGGTTCCATAAAATATTGACCCAAATAGTATATTCTTAAATAAGCTAAGGCCTCACATTCGCACAGGATGTGTGTGGCTGTTCCATTTTCTTCTTAACACCTCTCACAAGTTGGACTGTTACTTAGTCCCAATTTGAAGAGGTGTCCTATGAGGTGACAGTGTCCTGTAAGTAGTCCTATCACCCATCGTAGCTGGTTCCTGTTTAACTTCAACAGTTCCTTCGCTCTTTTATTAGAGGGTCCTCATATGAGTCCCTTTGCTTGCCTGAGTCAAGTTTAGGATACCCATTATTTCTTATGGTTCATATTTGTCCAGTCCCTGATTGCCTGTCTAGCAATTCCTATAGAGATGCCACAGGCTGATTCAGGTCCTGTGAACAGATGTTCAGCTCCAATCTTGGCCAGTTGGTCTGCTATTTTGTTTCCAGCAATACCCTCATGCCCCGACACCCATATCAGTTGTACCCTGTTATGTTTGGCGAGTTCCATGAGAGTTTGGTGGCAATCCCAGACCAATTTTGAGTTGATCTGGTGTTTGTCAAGTCCCTTAACCGTTCAGCGTGGTTTGACGTGTATGTTTCGTCAAGGTATTTAAATTGTCTGCGGGGGTTCGACGTCTATGTTTCGTCCAGCTGCACACCTATGTTATAACGCCCATAATAATTGATGGTTTTGCTGTAGATTGTTAGATTTTTCGCTGGCCTGTTGTCAGGAGACCCGTATCTAATGAGGCATTTGTTTAGCTGTGCTAAGTCATCGTTACATATGCCTGTCTTGCAGCAAAATCGTGTTGCTTCTGGTAGTGGTTTGCCCCTTCAAACTGTTATGAATGGTGTTTTTTTCTTTCCTATGAAGTTATAAACAGCAGAGACGTGTAATGTGCTGTGTTTATAATATCATATTGCCCTGAGCTGGCCACACTAACACACTCAATTGGAATTCTTAGAAGAGGGATATCCAAAATGTTATTCTTGCAAGATCGATTGATTTCGCACAGTACATTTCAGCCAGTTCTTAGAAAAACGCCACAAATTAAGGCAGAACACTGTGGTCACCCCCTGTGACGATATGGGTGTGTGGGGGAGGGAAAAGAACTCATTCCTTCATGTATTATCGCTCCAGTTGACTCCATTTTATCGTACTGACCTTGGTGGTCGTTTCGAGGGATGACCATAAATATTTTTTTGAGCCAGCTAAGCTCTGCTTTCGTTCACTACATACCAGCCAGTTCTTAGAATAACTTCATGAATTCTGTGGTCACCCCTACGACGTCTTATGCCGCCAAAATGGATGGAAAATGAAACGCAGAAGCACCAACACTTGTTATGATAACATAAAGGTTGAATTTACTGCAGCTAATCTGGCTAGCGATATGACTCATGGAGAGACATTAATTCTTGTATTCCCCCCACGGGGAAGAAGGCAAGGCCGCACAGAAGATGTTTGGTTTACGGAAAAAAGAGCCAAATGAGAGATACGCAGTACTGGTGTGGTGAATTTGAGACAGCGCTGTGTATAGTAGAATGCTTCAATGCGTACCACACTCCGCTCAAATTCTGAACCACCTGCTTCCTTTGCCGAGATACCGGGCGCTCATATTATAAGGCAAGGTTATAAAACCATCTTTTAAGATCATTTTAGTGAAAGCTTCATGCTTCAAGGCGTACGATACACTGCTCAAATTCTAAACCAACTGCTTCCATTGCCGAGATACCGGGCGCTCATATTATAAGGCAAGGTTATAAAACCACCTTTTAAGATCATTTTAGTGAAAGTTTCATGTTCCTATCTCATATAATTTAAGAACAATGATGAATAAATCATTTTCGAGCAAAATTTAAATGGACAGCTGAATATATTACCGCCGGAGAGACACGGCAGCGGAATTTAAATCACCACGCGAAAGGGTTAAGTGCAGCTTGGCTGTCAGATAAAATGTAGATGTTCCTGTTTGTGTAGTTCCTATCTAAATTCTCCATAATACATGCCATAATGGCATCTATTTCTGCCTGGAGTACTGTCGTGGACTGCCCAAGGCTGAAACTAAGTTTCCACCTCGTGCCATAGCAGAACACACCAGCTCCAGTGCCCTTATTTATCTTGGAACCTTCTGTATACCAGATCAGTCCCCCTTTTCTATCGGGCCAAAACCCGTCTTCCCATTCACTCCTGTCAGGAAAGCTGACTGTGAAGGGTTTTTCATATACATGTCTAAGTATCATTTTGTCAGACCCCTATTGTAATATGGGTTCTTTTTTCATGTCCTGAGTTATGTATGCATGTCCGAAACCATCGGATCTAGGTTTCTATTGATCACTGCACTGGAGACAGTAAATTCCTGCCCTGGCCTCTGCCTCCAACTGTAGATGCAGTGGGGGGAGTCCAAGGGGTGTCTCCATTGCAGCTGTTGGAGATGTTTGAATTGCTCCTGTGATACCCAAGCAAGCCAACCTTTGCAATTTGGTAAGTTCTGCCTTGCTTGTCTTGCGTTTAACTCTGGGCCACCACACTGTGGTGCCATCGTATATAATTATGGGTCTTACAGCCACAGTGTATATCCAATGCACAACGTGTGGCTGCAGTCCCCAAGTTTTACCAAACATGGTTCTGCATGTCCAAAAAGCCTTATAGGCTTTATTGATGACCTTATCCAGCTGCTTTTTCCATGTCAGTCCCTTGTCTAATACTAGACCAAAGTACTTGATATTGCTGGAGAGCTGGATCGTCGGATCGTCTTATGGAAGAGGGTCGGTTCCTTGAGCCCCTTGATATTTCTCTTCCTAGTAAGCGGTTTAATTACCGTCTTATTGGGATTGATGGAAAGGCTTGTTCTTTCACACCATCATTGGACCATGTACAGAGCTGTTTGAAGACACTCTGATACTGTCGAAAGGAATTTTCTGTTTATGAGGATTGCTATGTAATCAGTATATCCTATTGTATAATACTCATCATCATTAAGTCCCCATAGGAGATCGTCAATGACCAGGCTCCACAGTTTTCAAAAGGAAAGATGACAGGCTGATAGGACGATAAGCCTTAGCCTCGGTGTAATCTAGTTTCCTGGGCTTTGGGATAAATGTCACCTTAACTTGCCTCCAGGTCATGGGGATGAAACCATATGTCATGCAGGAGGTGTGGAACTAAAAGTTCTGCCCCATGCTGCAAAAATGCCGGTACATTTACATCTGTTCCTGCTGACTTAAGTGGTCTAAAAGTATGCAGTGCCCATTTAATTTTTGATTGGTTAATTATGACTTTGTCCAGGTTCCAGTCTGCCCCGTTCATCTTGCTTTGGCAAGTGCCCAGGTTTTGCTGACCCTGTCCATCGTCCAAATTATCAATCAATTTTGAATCAGGAAAGTGAACCCTGAATATTTCCTTCACTGTCTCCCTTCCTGTTTGAGTATACTGCCCGTTAGGCAACTTAATTGTGCTAACCTTGTTGGTCGCTTGTTTTGCCATGATTCTCATGAGTCTGGCACCACCTGGTACATCATTGATCTCCTGGCAGTGCCTCCTCCATGAGGATTGCTTGGCTTTTCTTATTTCTTTGTTGTAACAGGCAAGGGCTTCCTTGTAGGTGTCCAACTGCCCTGTTCTTTTAGCTATATTAAACAGCCTTCTTGTTTTGGTTCTAAGCCCACTCAGCTGTTTATTCCACCAAGACGCTCTCCTTGGTCCGCGAGTGGTCTTAGCCAGACAATTCCGATTAAAGGACGAGATAATGGCCCATTGCAGCTGGTCAACGGATCTGTCAACATCCTTTATTATGCGTATATTTCACGAGATGGTCTCTAGATTTACCTTTAGGTCATCTTTGTAAGACTCCCAATTGGTTCCCTTAGGATTCCTATTAGTAGCTTGATCTACTGTAATGTTACTTATTTGAAAGCATATATATCTGTGATCTGATAGGGATGGCTCATCAGATACATGCCAATTACTGATCAGGTTTCCTATTTTATTTGTCCCTAGTGTCAAGTTGATACCCTCCTGCCTATTGCAGACCACAAAGTTAGGCTCGTTGCCTTGGTTTAGAATATTAAGGTTTGAACTCACCAAATATTCAATGAGGCATTCTCCTCTTGGGTTGATGTCAGTGCTCCCCCACAGTGTGTGGTGCACATTGGCATCACACCCAATGATGAGCTGCTTTTCCCTAAGATGGCAATATTCAACGATGTCCCTCACTTCTTTCGAAGGTGATGGTTCATCCGAGTCATATGGAAGGTAGGCTGAAGTGACAGTGAGCTCCTCACAGCCTCCACCCAATGTGTATGTCATCCTCACCGTTGTTGTGTCTCTGGAACAGAACTCAAGCAAGGGTAAAGCATTAATATGATTATTAACATATATGCATGATCTCACATTTTCTTCAGGTGCCACAGAGTAGACTGTTGCCCCTGAATTCGTTAAGCCTCTTATTTGGTCCCTATATATCCAAGGTTCCTAAATAAGTGCTACGTCTACTTTTCCTTCAGCAAGTTGTCGACATAAAATTGCCATAGCAGCCTTGCTGTGGTGTAGATTAATTTGAATGAATCCTATTTTATGTGTAAGTGTTGTGTGTATGTATGTATGCTGTGTGTTCATTCTGTAATGCTGGGAAAGGTGTCCTCCTAAATACCTTCCTCCACAGCCCCATATACTTTATCAGACCTGGTTTCCTCTGAGGGAGGTCCCTGATCTGGTAAGGTCGGGTTGACCAGAGGAGGGATTGTCTCCGTCTCGTCAGATATTCTCTTCTGGTCAACTGAGGGGCCGGGTTGGATGATACTGTATCTGACACAGGTTCTGCCTGGCGCTGATCCTCAGGATCATTCAGCACCTTAACAGTCCCCTGTGAGAGTCCTGTGAATATTTTGTAACCGGTCCTCTGTATAATAGTATTTGAGTCCCGGTCTATAAATAAGATAAGCCTTTGGCCTTTCGACTGAGATTGCCTATCGAATACCCTCCAGTTTTCAGTATGAAGTCCTGGATTGAGGTCTGCAATCCATTTCAGCAGCTCTTCCTGGTTCTTGGCAACTTTTTCCCCAGTGTGGAGAGCCACTTTAACAGGCTTGGGCAGGTTCCTGGCATCAGTAGCCTTCAGCCTCGCCCCTGATTCCAGCCTGTGGTTGTCAATGGCTTTGGTGAGCCATTGACCAGATTGTTGGTCGGCACATGCATAAATAAGTGCACCTCCCACTATTCTGTAGGATTTCAGGTGTGGTAGTTCTCCCTTTGGAGTCCTACATAACACCTCTCACAGTGCTTCCAGAATGGAATTTTGGTCATCTTCGGTAAGCTTATCCTCAGGATAAGTTTCCTTGAAGATAGATACCTGTATGTTGGTCAGAGCCTCCTTGTAAGTCCCAGGTCCTTTAGAGTCCCTGGGCCTTTTTGAAGTTATGGCCATTTCTGTAAGGGTACTGCCCTCCGACTTTGGCCTCTTAAAGGTACCGGTGGGGGTTTCTTCCTGCTTGGACGAGCCTGCATTTCCTGGTTGCTGACTGCCCCCAGTTCCTGCTATGCTTGCCCCAGCTCTTGCCTCTTTCAACTTCCATCTGGTGCATCCAGACAAGGCTTATTTTGCTAGACGGAGTCCACCTACTCCAGTGACCAGGTATCCCAATCCTTCTCTTGCTGCAAGTGTGCTAGAGGTAGTAGCCCCCCTGTAGTGGTATGTCAGTACCACTGACTCCCAATAGAATTTTTGGTTTTACCTCTTGTAGGTTCTGAACCACTGGTTCGTCCCTGCCTTTGGCTGAAAATTCAACAGCAGGTTCGCTGACTGCACCTGGGTCCCTTAGTGGTTCACCAGAGCTTCCAGCCCCCTGCTGAAGCATTTCTCGTAGGGATCCCCTTGGAAGGGGGTTCCTCTTCAGTTTAAGGTCCTTATGACCCTTTTTTTTTTTTGGTTCCTTTCATTTGGCTCCATGAGTTTTGGGGATTTAAAAGGTTGCCACCTGCAGTGCCCCATATGGGTGGAAGGCATGAATACAACGGGGTGCTGCATGGTGCCCCGAGGGTATCGTTCAAGACACTGGCTAATTACCACCCCAGTGCCATGCAGCCCTCAGCACAATGCCTCACACCTTGGCTTAAGTGTTCTGGTCCTGTAGTGAATGCAACCCTCACAAGCCTCCAGGACCCAGAGTGCCTGTTTTGGGGAGAGGGGTATCCCAGATGATTAATGGGAGTGCGACACCAGTTGGTTGTGAGTTTGCGACCAGGGCAACCTGTGTGAGAGAGTCAACCCTGGGGGTTGCTTATGAGCTCCCCCATTCCCACCCCTCCACATGAGTTGGTCAAACCGTTTTAGAGTGTTGAGCCCTAAGGCTTGCGGCACCTTATTGGTACTCTAGGGAGACAACTCACATAGTTGAAGCTACCCCATACGAGTGCTCTCCCGCATTCATCCCAGGTACACCATAGTGACACACAAGAGTCATTATGCCGCCGCGTGGGAGGCTTCTTTATGGGAACTTAGCCACCAGCCCCAGTAGGTCATACTGATCCAGACCCCCAAGACTGCCATTGCCCGGCGGGACCACGAGGAGGTGTCCCAACGCATCCCTGGTCCATGATACGTCCCCACCAAAACACAGCCATGGTTTGGCCAACCTCACCTAAGATGGCGTCATTATCACCTGTAACATGTGATATAAAAACGTTAAAGTTACCCTGGGATCAAACCTGGCCGCCTCCTGTCATAGTTGCCTAAATCCACTCTTATGTTATCCTATGATCTACAGCTTGGTCTTGCAGTTTCTCTTTCCTTCAGATTTTCGTACCCAAACTTTATATGCATTTCTCTTGTCTCCCATGCATTCTCCATGCCTAGCCCATCTTACCCTTCTTGCTTTGTTCAACCTAACGATATTTGGTGAGGATTACAAATTATGAAGCTCTTCATTATGCAGTTTTCTCCTGCCTCCTCTTATTTCTTTCCACTCAGCACCCTGTTCTCAAACACCCCCACTCTATGTACTTCCCTAAATGTGAAGTGTAATGTGTCTTATTGTGCAGTAAGGTGAAAGTGAACCAGTGTGATGGGCTTGAATGAGGAGATTGCCACATGTGGCATACCACTCAAAGCTTGAGTGGTAGGCATGAGGTTAGGAGGATGCTAGGGCCCATTTTATACTTTGTTTGGTGTCTTTGTGATGGTATAACTGATGTATTCTTGTTGTTCTGCAGATGGGATTGTCACTGTTGGGTGCTGTTATGGTTGTGGCATTAGTGAACGTCTGGATGTTATTACCTGCATTACTAATGTTCTCAGTTTTCTATCTGCTGAGAATGTATTTTATGGCCACATCACGCAGTATCAAGAGGCTTGAAGGAATCAGTAAGTTGATGTATCATATGTGGCAACGCTTGAACACGGAGAGGCAAGTGATGTGTTTGACTTGCGTACAGATCTGAGCTGTGAAAGTTTTCTGTGTTAAAGAAAATCTGATTTCTTACAGAGAGTCTGAAGTACTTGCAGCAGATTGCTAGTCCCGGAGCTGCAACATTAAACAACTCCAGATATAAATTTAATTCTTCTGAAGTACAAAAGACTGATCACAGGACTCTAAAAGCGCAGAGTATGTTGATGTGCAGTTTGGGTGATCAGTAATTGATTCATTGATAATAATTTTTATTTTGCACATTACTATATGGAAAATTTTGGTATTGAAATTTAATGTTTGTATGATTTACTGTATTGTTTTGCATTTAGTTTCAACTTTCTGGATGCAACACATTGCTCTTGGGGATAGAAATTGTCGACTTTTCTGGCAGCAAAAGTCTGAAGGTTTCACATTAATTGGGTCATCACTTATCTTCAGGAGAGGCATGACTTTCAGATCAGATTTATTGTTTCACTGTGCCGGGTTTCAGTTGTGTCTCTTTAAGCTGAAAAAATTAGTAGTGGGATGTGAATGTATAAAGAAACTGAAATGGTGTAGTGGATGAGCTGGAAGTGACCAGGTACATGCAAGTATCTGTATTGGCCCACTTGCTTCTAATTGTACTGATTGAAGAAGACGGTACTAATGGCCCAGCTGTAAGTATTTCTGTTTGTCTAACCTCACTTACCCTATGTACATTCAGTAACTGAGAGAAGTAGTTCTTCCACCTGTTCAGACTGCTGTGGGAATCTGCAAGCAGATCACCATTCTCATCCTTCACTAAGTTACTTCTAGGTTGGTGTAACTTAACTGAGCACTTTAAAGTGCACACGCATGACCAAGACAAGAGTGAAATTTAAAGCAAGCAAGACTCTTTTTAACTGTTTCGAATGAAAAGGAAAGTCATTTATTCCTCTATACAGGTCTGTAATGTTTTGGTTCTTACTGTTCATTTCAAGCTCATCAATTTTGTCTTTGACATATTCCCTCTTTTTATTCCTGAAAAGCCTGCTGGTTTAACGTCTTATATTATTCAGATTATCCCCATTTAATTCGTTTGGATTCTGTAACCACTGCAGTTTGGCTTGTTTTCTTTGGTCTCATAATTTTGAACAACCTTCATCAAACCATGGCTTATGCTTCTTCAGTTCATAATAACCTAGACTCTCTTTGGCAGAAATTTTGGCATTCTCTCTAATAGTTGCCCAAGCTTTATTAACATCCACCTCAGTGTCTATGTTTTGTGATTTCAACATGATACTGCTGTTTAACCTCTACCTCATTTAATTTCTTGATATTGAACCTCTCCAAATGAACTCTGTGCGTTGTTTGTTTGCTCACTGCCCGTCTTTCTCTGAACTTTGCCACCAGCAGGCAGTGGTCAGTATCGCAGTCTGCTACTCTAATTGATCAGCATCAAGTATATCTGTATGCTGTCTGCTGTCTATCAAAATATGGTCGATTTGGTTATGTGTCTTCCCATCAGGAGATGTCCAAGTAAATTTATAAATGTTACGATGCGGGAACATCATACTTTTGACAGTAAGATTTTTTGATGATCGGATTAATTAAGAGGTATGGAATGTCATGTAATGTTATAAATGAGTAAAATTTGGTATTATTTTCACAGTTTGTCTCACTTGGAAACTGTTGAATTGTTTCAAGCTTGTTAAAAAGTATAGAAAAGTATGAAGATTGACTATTCGTGCTGGAAGACCAATAAGGAGCACCTTTCTTGAAGCAGTTCTCTTTATTCAGTATCAGGCCACAGGAGTTATTTGCCATCAACCTGTCATGCATAGAGTCCAGAGTTATCTCCTCGTGCATACAACATGTTCTGCATATCTCATCCTGCTTGATTTAATGACTGTAATAATGTATTGTGAACAGTGGAAGTTATGAAACTTCTCATTATGCAGTTTTTATATAGTAATATTAATGTTAATCTGAAAATGATATGAGAGTAATAGTATTAAATTTTGTTATAATTAACAATTGATTTTGGTATTGAAGATATAGTGTATTATTTACTTACTATTTAGTTGGTGCCTCATCTTACAAAGTATTGTCCGTTCTGTAGGGAATGTAAACAACACCTGATTTGGTGATGTATGTTAAAAGTCAATGCAAGGGAGGGAGGGGGGGAGGAAGGTAGAGATAAGGTGTATGCGGAAGTGATGGTGGGGGGAGGGGGGTATGACTGTAAATTATGTTTAACCCTATATATGATGTAATCATTGATACATACAAAACATAAGATACAGTCATCACCAAACCAGTCGTTCTTTACATTCCCTACAGAACGGACAATACTTTGTAAGATGAGGCACCGACTAAATAGTAAGTAAATAATACACTATATCTTCAATACCAAAATCAATTGTTAATTATAACAAAATTTAATACTATTACTCTCATATAATTTTCAGATTAACAATAATATTACTACATCTACATGACAGTTTATTATATATACACAAAATATAGAATACTCCAATTTGCCCTTGGGAACACAACAAAATCGCAGAAACCAACGACTGACTCGATGATGTAAAGCATCACTTGAAGAATTTTAATCTTGTTTATAACTTTCGTTTTATGTAGTCTAATTTATTGTACTTTTATGCCAAGTATTTTAATGTAATTAATATTATTGTTTTTAATTTTACTAGTACTGCAGTTCAGTGGTGTATATATGTTAGCCATGTATTTGCCTGATGATGGCTTTTGGTAGCCGAAACATGTAGCAGAGCCAAAATTGGCACTGACCTTAAGATAGTTGTGTTGTGACGGTTTTAATAAAGAAATTGTATATTATGACACATCAGAATGCATGAAATGAAAAAATAATTTTCATTTGATGCTGCCACTCCTAGATGTTTTAGTTTTGTCATGTTTGTTAAGGATGTATTATCCCTGATATAATTTAGTCCTGCTCAGATCAATATGAGCATGCCCTTAGTACAACTTACTACTTTGCCATCTAGAAGTGCCTGTATGTTTCTCTGTATGTTACTTATGTTTCTGCCCATTAACTCTTTGACTGGCGCGAAGGGTATTTAAATCCCACCCCTGTCCTGGCAGGCCCTTTAAACCTTATGTCGCTAAAATGCATGTAGTTACTTTTTCCTAAACAACTTCAACAAAAATTGGTTTTTAAAAACGAAATTTTAAGGAACTAATTAAAATACAATATTTTATGCAATAAATGCCTTTCCATACCTCTTTATTAGTTTTTCTTCGTGTAATAAACATTGAAACATGAAAGTTTGCAGAGAGCCACACCACAGCCTGCACACATGATACTTGTTTCTTTTCTAATCTTGTGCTTAGCACTCACGCGACACTTTCTCAGGGCACCATTCTTCTTGTTACTGGGAGGAACATGGACCATTTTGTGAATTTTCAAGCCACCCTCTAGACGATTTACTGGCTCTTTCACTGGTGGTCTTTTCAAGGTCGAGGGCGGAGGCGTGACTGCACTC